ATTTATTGCCATGAGCATCATTGTATTTAAAAGTCATATTCAAACATACAATGTGTACAACTATTTCCAAATAGGAAAGAAGAATTAACATTTTCAAAATACTAATTATAAGCTAGGAATATTAAAAAGAACCTTACATACGTTATACCACAATCTATGAAATAAGTGGTGTTATCTAAATTATACAAATGAAGAATCTAAGAAGTATTATAACATCAACGAGATGACAAACGAGGAACCTCCAGGCTCTCATTCACCCATGGAGACACTGAATTAGCAATATACAGAACAAAATGCTTTTGTGAGAAATCTAGAGACTAGTTAAGTGGCTGCAGCACCCAGGAGAGAGCATAAACAAGAGAAGGAACTATTCACAGAAGGATAAGCAAGGACCTAGTATTTTTCTTACCCTAGCCCCTCCCCCAACTTGGCATAGTGTGGTGAGATTTGGAGAATACCATCCAAATCCTGGCTCCTTCCTCAGGTCAGAAGGAATAGAGTTGAACTTCAGTCCAGCATTGTGGCTTATCTGTGGGCTGTCTCACCTGGCTTGGGGTGCTGACAGGAACAATGGCATAGTTTGGATACCAGGTTGGAGACCGCTGAAAAAAGAGGTGAGTGCCCTGGTTTTTTATTGTGGCAGAAACTGAAATTCCACAGGCAGGCTTCAGGGAGAGGAAGAGATTAAGGACAGAAGAATATAACAGAAACCAAAAGCTCCTGAGAAGAAACAGGAAATTAAGATAGCTAAAAGCACTCATACATTCTAGAATAAAAGCACATATACAACCTCAATGAAGACCCATCCCCAGAAAAGATCTGAGAGGTCCCAGAACCTCTAGCCAGGTTGATTGGTGAAGGTCTTCCCCTGCATGAGGCCAGTTATAAAGACTGGGAGAGGTAGATGTCTTTCAAATAGTCAACAATCAACAAAAGATCACAAGGGTTGCAAAGAAACAAGGAAACATGGTCCAATCAAAGAAATAAAATGAAGCTTTAGAAACCAACCATAAGGAAATGCAGATCCATAAACTGATGGACAAAGAACTTAAAATAACTACCTTAAAGACGCTCAATGAGGTAGAAGGGAATACAGATAGGCAAATAAGATAAATCAGGAAAACAATGCATGAACAAAATGAGAATAGTAACAAAGAGATAGAAACCATAAAATATAACAAAATAGAATTCTAGAGCTGAAAAATACAACAACTAAACTGAAAATTTACTAGAGGGGTTCAAAATTAGACTTGATCAGACAGAATAAAGAGTCAGCTAACTTGAAAACAAATTATTTGAAATCACTGAGCCAAAGAAGCAAAAATAAAAAAGAATAAAGAAAAGTGAAGTGAGCCTAAGAGGCTATGGGATGTCATTAAGTGGATAAACATATGCATTATGAGAATCGCAAAATTATAAAGGAGGGGGGAGTGAGAGAGAGACAGAGAGAGAGAGAGAGAGCTTATTTGAAGAATAATAGCTGAAAACTTCCCAAATCTAAGGGAAAAAATGGACATAAAATTCAAGAAGCTCAATGAATTTCAACTAGGATGAACTCAAAGAGACCCACATTGAGAAACATTATAATCAAACTGTCAAAAGTCAAAGACAAAGAAAAAAATCTTGAAAGTAGGAAGAGAAAAGCAACTTGTCATGTACAAAGGAGCTTTCATAAGACTGTCAGTGAATTTCTCATTAGAAACCTTACAGACCAGAAGGAAATGGGGTGATATATTCAAAGTGCTGAAAGAGAAACAAAAATCTGTCAATCAAGAATACTGTATCTGGCAAAACTGCCTTTCAAAAATTAAGGTGGAATTAAGACCTTTCCAGACAAACACTGAGAGAGTTCATTACCACTAGATCTACCCTACAGGAAATGCTAATGGCAATCCTTCAAGTTGAAACAAAAGGCATTAGACAGCAACATGAAGCCATGCAAAAGTACAAAGTTCTCCAGTAAAGTTAAATATACGGATAAATAGAGAATCTGTATTACTGTAATTTTGGAGCATAAATCTAACTTTAATTCTAAAAGACAAAAGCATGTACACAAAAAAATCTATAAATCTTTGTTAATTGGTATATAAATATATAATTTGTGACATTAATAACAAAATGGAGAAGGGGTGGAGCTATAAAGGTATAAAATTTCTGTATGCAATTGAAGTTTGGTTGTTACCAGTTTAAAACAGATTGCTATAACTTTAAGTTGTTTAATGTAATAGCAATGGTAACCACAAAGAAAATACAGAATATACACAAAAAGAAATAAGAAATGAATCAACGCACGTCACTACAAATAAAAATCAACAAAACACAAAAGGCAGTAAGAGAGAAAATAAGAAACAAAGAAGTGGTCAGGCACAGTGACTCATGCCTCTAATCCTAGCATTTTGGGAGGCCAAGGCAAGAGGATTGCTTGAGGCCAGGAGTTCAAGACCAGCCTGAGCCAGAGTGAGACCCCCTCTCTAGAAAAAATACAAAAATTAGCCAGGTGTGGTGGTGCACACCTGGCGTCCCAGCTTCTCAGGAGGCTGAGGCAGGAGGATCACTTGAGCCCAGGAATCGGAGGTGGCAGTGATCTATGATGATGCCACTGCACTCTAGCCCAGGCAATAGAGCAAGACATTGTCTAAAAAAATAAAATAAAAAAAATAAAATGTCATTTTTTTCTTTCATGTCTATGTAGACTTATTTGATATCAGCTTGGATTCTACCATTTCCACCTGCAAGCAGTCAAGTAAAATCCATTTCTCTATGCTAACTTTTAGGATGCAGAAATTTAGTACGTAAGGGTCAGTGAAAGTGAAAGAGGTCCAGCAAAAATTCCCTTCTTTTTTCACTTTGGATCATCTCTCTGTTGCAGACTGCAGACCCCTAGGCACAAGAGGATGAAGCCCCATGTATACACTCCATTATTCTATTGGTTGCTGGGATAGTAACACAGCTTTGAAGGAACTATTAAGATTACTATTGGCTGGGCTCAGTGGCTCACGCCTGTAATCCTAGCTCTCTGGGAGGCCGAGGCGGGCGGATTGTTTGAGCTCAGGAGTTCGAAACCAGCCTGAGCAAGAGCGAGACCCCGTCTCTACTAAAATTAGAAAGAAATTAATTGGACAACTAAAAATATATAGAAAAAATTAGCCGGGCATGGTGGCACATGCCTGTAGTCCCAGCCACTCGGGAGGCTGAGGCAGGAGGATCGCTTGAGCCCAGGAGTTTGAGGTTGCTGTGAGCTAGGATGATGCCACGGCACTCTAGCCGGGGCAACACAGTGAGACTCTGTCTCAAAAAAAAAAAAAAAAAAGATTACTATTAAGACAAAATTAATGACATTATCATTATCATCATCATCATGAGGTTCATACTTAGCAGTCTGCTGGAAACCATATGTTTATCTGAAAAAAGTCCTCCCTGAACTAGAATAAAGATATAGTCAGAAGCATAAGCCAGGCACAGAAAGACAAATGTTACATTTTCTCACTCACACATAGAAACTAAAAAAGTTGATCTTATGGAGGTAGAAAGTAGAATGACATTTACCAGAGGCTGGGAAAGGGATGGGAGGAGGAGGATGAAGAGTGGTAGGTTAATGGGTACAAACACACAGTTAGAAGGAATAAGTTCCAGCTTTTGATGGCAGAGTAGGGTGACTATAGTTAACAACAATGTATTATAGTTTTTCAAACAGCTAGAAGATTTGAAATGTTCCCAACAGAGAAGAATTATAAATGTTCTAGGTGACGAATATCCTAAATACCCTGACTTAATCATTACACATTCTATGCATGTATCAAAATATCACATGTACCCCATAAATATTACAAATGTTATATATCAGGTTTTTTTTTAAGCAGAAGCAGTGAAATAGTGTAGTGGACAAGACTTGAGTTAGAAAGCCTTGCTCTGTAGTGTATCACATTTCCCTCAGCTTCAATGTTCTCATCAGTAAAACGCAGAGACAGCCCACTTGCTGCATTGCATTATTGTACCTATACAATGAAATCATGTAGGTAAAGCACTCAAAACAGTGTTCAGCACACACAGTAGGCGCTCTATGGATTGTATTATTATCTTCACCACCCAGGTCTTCAGTACACAGTTACAGGCTGGCTCTCTCTTTAAAGACAAAAGAATGTACTGCTGTCATTTTAGATACTAAGTTTCTTCATAATTTTACCTTCATATCCTCTCTCCACTCATTCATACCATAGCTCTTAGAAATTTCTGGCTGGAAAATCTGCATTTTTGCCATGGCTGTAGCCAGACGAGTTAAAGACTGACGACCACTCCCTCCAAGTCCAACAAGCAAAGCATTTCCACCAGACTGCTTTAGAACTCGACATATTCTTGATAAATGTTCCAAAACATACCTACCATGAAATAACAATCTCATTATAGATGACAATAGAAATGTAAATGTAAATTTACATGTAACTATTGTTTCGTTCTCCTAGAAGAATGTGCCTTTGTTGTCCCATATGTTAACTATCCCAATTTTAAACAGCTTATCATCAAAAAGCATGATTTTTCAAAGGCAGTTACAATTGTATCCTTTGATATAGAGGAAAACTAAAAGTTCAAATTCAGGAAATTTAATATATAAGTTATACAAATAAAATGAAATCTTAGCTGCTTAAACTGGCAGTACATTACTGCTTTTATTAAATACATTTCTTCAATCTCTTAAGATTTCTATGTCAGAAATAAGAAATTAGTTGTCTATAAAATAACAAATTCAGAAAAAACATTTAGCCTCACTAGTAATTAGGAGAATTAAAATTAAAACTACAATGAGATAACATTCCACTCTCCTTACACTGGGAAAACTTACAAAGTCTGGCAATCCTAAGTGTAGGCAAGGGTGAAGAACAATGGAAGCTCTTAAAAGTAATAATAATTTTTGAAGATATTTTGGCAAAATTTATTTAACAGTAAACTTAAAGATGCTTATATACCATGACACAATAATCCCACTTCTAGGAAAATAGCCTAGATAAATTCTTACACATGTACCCAAGGAGATATGTATATGAATTTTCAAAGCATTTTTTATAAGAGCAAAACCTAAAAGTTTATCTCAGAAGAATGACTACATTGTGGTATAATTATATGATAGAATGAATATAGTAGTAAATACTCATTTTTTGTGACTCTCACAAACAATATGGACTAAACCAGCTTGCAGAAGATTACACCCAGTATTATACCATTTATATGCAGTTTTAAAAGATGCAAAATAAGACTATGCATATACGTTTAGGAACATAACATACACATGTACAAAAAAGTCCAAAGAAACATGAGTTTCTTTTTACTACTACAGATTATGATGGAGGATGCAGTAAGGGAGGGTGGCTACAATGGGACACTTTAAATAAGTTGCTAATATTTTATGTCTTAAGCTGGATGGTGGATAAAAGGTTATTCACTGTGTGTTTCTCTATACCTTTTTGTACATTTTAAACTCTTCATAATAAATCTTTATAGATAGCAATTTCAACTGTGAATACGAAATATAGGTACCTAAAAATGACAAGATTCATTCTTGTTTTGTGAGTTTGATTATATTCATCTAAGCATTGGTCCACAATATCACTAAAACGATGAATATTTGGAATTTCAATATAAACTCTATCATCTCCTTCAAGGTCGGGATTCATATAGTCACCAAACATGAGATTTCTTAAGTCCTCTTCAGTTACCTATAGAAAGGAAATCAACAAGTTTCAAAACCTAAAATTTTTTCTAAAGTAGATATAAGAAAATGTACAAAATTTTATTTCATCAATGTTATGGAATGATTATTAATTGGATACTTAGATAATTCTTTTAAACGTTAGGGTAGTAAATAATAGCTTTGTAAAATTAATACCTAAAATTATATCCTTGGGAAATAAAAAGAAAAGTAAGCTTTTTTCCTATCATATAAGTTCTGTTGTTTTTTTATAGAAGCTGGAGAAGTCGTTCTGGAGGATTCCCATTTACTGAGTAGTTACTAGGGGATGGTCACCACGTTAAGCATTTTACGTCTATTATACCATTTAATTCCTAGCATACAAAGTTTTATTCTTTAAAAAACTTCTATGTTACATACATTCCTGTGAAGAAAATATCAAAAGAAGCACCTATCTATGAGGAAAGCTAAAAAGTATGTTAATTAAAAGCAATAATATTTTTAAAAGATAAGTTAATTGATGGTGACGATTCACGCTGTTAATACTGTTTTAACTTGATATGTTTGTAATCACTTAACATACTCACTGGTGCATTCTCTTTCCTCAAATGTGAAAAGATAATATCAAATGATTCTTTAAAATGGTCCTTTATAACAGTTTTGGTTAATTTGAACAGCCAGTTTCGATCATCATCATTAATAAGGCGATCATAAAACACTCGGAGGACCTCATGCACGAAGAGACGGATCATAGTGTGCTTGCTCTTCACAGCATCTCTTCCAATGAGTAAGCAGCCCCGGATGACACGCGAGAAATCACGCAAGTTGAAAGTATAATGAGATTTTGTGGGAGTAGGCAAGAGATTTTCCATGGATTGTTTATATACCTGAACATGAAAAAAGCAACAAAGCAAAAATAAAATGCTTATAATCAGCAAAGTCGTGTAACAAATGGTTTATTATACAAAATATTTTATTTATTCTATCAGATTATATTGGCTTGATGAATTGTATAGTCCTAAGCCTAGCATGGTGTAAATGTTTATTTTGATTTACAGCGCTCAACCAGGCATTGTAAAGTTGAAGGAACGTAATATTATCTGATTCCATCCAAGCCCAGGAAGTGACATACTTTCACTTCCCAGTTATTAGGTTGTTCCATTTAACAGTGAATGATCTGGAGTTAAATAGTAGAAAACTTAAGTAGAAAATGCAATTAGATAACTCACTCTGAAGCATTCCAAATGAAGAGGTTGAAATCATTTTCTCTTTACTACCATTGACTTCAAAACAAATAAATTCATTCTCTCCCTTCCCTTCTCTCCCTTATTCTCTTTCTCCACCTTCTTCCTTATGTCTTAATGGACTATAATATGGAAATGCAGTATATTTTTATTATATGCTGAATTCTTTTTTTTTTTTTAAAGACAAGCATGAAGAATGGGAGGGAAGTAGAGAAAACTGACAAATATCAGAGTAGGAAGCTAACAATCAGGGAAATACCTATGATATGGTAATTTCTGGTTCTGGAATGGTTTTCTTATAACAGCCTTGCAAAATAGGTATTATATCCCGTTTTAATGATTAAAAATACAAATTACTTGCTCAAGGTAATATAGCTAGTAAATAGCAGTCAAGGCTCAACCCCTGTTAGATTCCCTAATTTCAAAGCCTGTGATTTACCTAGTCTCGAGTCTTCTGAAACATTTCTCTGATACTAAAGACCAAAGTAAATGGCTATGGGGAAAAAATGTTAAAAAAATTTTAAAAAGCAAGGGCCAAATGAGGGAAATATGTCATACTAAGACATTTCACAATGTATTATTTGCTCACCTCCATAGTCCCACTGACTATCTGGTTCCCAGTTACAAAGTACTCTGGAGAAAATTCACGAGTCCTGAGGTAGAATGCTACAATCGACGAGAAGATTCGAATCATAGTTTCGTCACTAAAAGGATTAATACCACAGACATTGAAATGTCGAATAAAACGAGGAGTGACCGGATTTCTCCCACCACCTGGAGGACCCATTGCAGCAATCAGTTCTATGTCAACCAAAGTAATTTTACTTGTGTCCTTAAGATCATACCTTGAAAAATACATAAAAAATTTTAAGCAATCTGTTAGAAAGACATTAAGATGAAATGAAATATGGATCTCCCTAGAAATTTAATCTGATTTTAGCTTCTCTGAAAGGAAGAACTTCAGATAATGTTTCAATTTTTTTTTTTTAAAGCAGAATTCTATTTTCCCTTCAGTGACACTGATTCTGTTGCCCAGATTCTGGGTATCTAGAATGACTCTTCCTTGGGCCCTTCCCTTTCTTTCCTCCTATTCTTCCTTCCAATTTGACCCTCTACGCTTTCTTTCTCCCTCTCTCTCCTTCCTTCCTTCCTTCCTTCTCTCTTTCTTCCTTCTTTCCTTCTCTCTTTCTTCTTTCTTTCTTTCTTTCTTTCCTTCTCTCTTTCTTCTTTCTTTCTTTCTTTCTTTCTCTTTCTTTCTTTCTTTCTTTCTTTCTTTCTTTCTTTCTTCTTTCTTTCTTTTCTCTTTTTTGAGACAGTGTCTCTCTTTGTTTCCTGGGCTAGAGCGCAGTGGCATCATCATAGATCACTGCAACCTCAAATCGGGCCCAAGCTATCCTCCTGCCTCAGCCTCCCAAAGTGCTAGGATTACAGGTGTGAGCCACTGCACCCCGTCCACTTTTTCTTTCTTATTTCAAATCCAGAAACATGGATGAGTGATCAATCCTATTTGTAGCTGGTTATAGGTATGGTGATCATATGTCCCATTTTGCCTAGGACAATTCTGGCTTGTGCTTGTTGTCCTGGAGTAATTATTAATAACAGTCCCCTTTTAATCTCAGAAATGTCCCAATTTGAGCAACAAATTATACAGTCACCCTAGCTATAGCAAATTCTTGATTTTCCTTTTCTCATCTCAAACCTGATCTTCAGAGCAGATACAAATGTCTAAATAGTACCTGTACATTTTGTTATATAGAAAGGGAACCATTATGGAATAATAAAGCTTCAAAGAAGTTTTAATCAGAAAGGAGTATGAAATGACACAATTTAGTTGGAAGCACTCAGTAAAAATGTTGTTATTTTCAATAGGCCATGAAGTACTTTAATACTGAAGCTCTTTTACAAAAACAACAAAAAAGTAAAAAAAACAAGGCTTGGGGGAAATCCATATTGTCACTCCTTAGTGTAAGAGCATACTAGGAGTATGAAAAGATGATTTGTCTCTTGGCAACAACCTAATAATCATCAATAGGAGACTGGCTAAATAAATTATGTTAAATATTAATAGCAAGATCCACACAACTAAATAATATTAAAAGCCAATAAAATGAATGATACAAATATGCACTGACATGAAAAGATGTTCAAGATAAATATTTAAGTAGAAATAATTTGTAAACATTACACGCAATATGAGCCTATTTTTAAAAATAAAAAGTATATTTATATAGAAAAAATCACTGGGGCATAGGGAATACACTATTAACAGAGTTTATTTCCTGGAGGAAGGATTCCAAGAGCCTGTAGTAATAACAAAATTGCATCTCTAAAACATGATGTAGCTTTGAAATTAGTCTACCCTGCCTTGAGATAAAAATCATGGCATATCAAGGAACAGGAAAGTACATTTAAGAGAAGGAAATGGCCAGTGTGGTGGTTCACACATGTAATCCCAGCATTCAGGGAGGCTGAAGCAGGAGGATCACTTGAGGCCAGGAGATTGAGATCAGCCTGGGCAACATAACGAGACCCTATCTCTACAAAAAACAAACGAAAATTAGCTAGATGCGGTGGCACATGCCTGTAGTCCTAGCTACTGAGGAGCCTGAGGCAAGAGGATTACTTGAGCCCAGGAGTTCAAGGTTACAGTGAGCTCTGATAGCACCACTGCACTCCAACCTGGGTGATACATGAAGACTCTGTCTCTAAAAAAAAAAAAAAGAAAGAGAGAGAGAGAAGGAATAAAGAATTATTAATCCAAACTAAAAGATGCTAACTACATCTTACATGTTAGAAACTAACCATATCACCAGGAAATTGATGTGGGAGGAGCGGAAGGGATATCTATAAAACTGCTGTAAAAAATATGGTGGTCCCAAATAGTCACAGAAAATATAGAGAGTTAAACATAGCAGAAACATACAGTGCTAATTACGGTTACTTAGGAGGCTACCCACAAATTCTCAACCCTGGGGGGATGGTACTTTGAAAGATGTAATCTGTAAATTATTTTCAATAATTCAAAATAATAGTTGAAAAGTACAGGCATACCTCATTTTATCGAGCTTTGCTTCATTGTGCCTTGCAGATATTGTTTTTTTTATACATTGAAGGTTATGGCAACCCCGTGTGGAGCAAGCATATCAGTGCCGTTTTCCAATAGCGTGAGCTCACCTTGTGTCTGTGTCACATTTTAGTAATTCTTGCAGTATTTTTAATTATTACTATACCTGTTATGGTGATCTGTGATCAGTGATCTTTGATGTTACTATTATAACTGTTTTGGGGCACCACAAACTTGGCTCATATAAAGTGGCAAACTTAATTGATATATGTGCATGTTCTAATGGCTCCACCAACCAGCTGTTCCCCTGTCTCTCTCCCTCTTTTTGGGCCTCCCTATTCCCTAAGACACAACAATATTGAAATTAGGTCAATTAATAACCTCATGATGGCCTCTAAGCGTTGAAGTGAAAGGCAGAGCTGAATATCTCGCTTGAAATCAAAAACTAAAAATGATTAAGCTTAGTGATAAAGGCATGACGAAAGCCAAGATTGGCCGAAAGCTAGGCCTCTTGCACTAAATAGCCAAGTTATGTACACAAAGGAAAAGTTATTGAAGGAAATTAAAAGTGCTACTCTAGTGAACACACAAATGATAAGAAAATGAAACAGCCTTATTGCTGAAATGGAGAAAGTTTGAGTGGTCTGGATAGAAGATCAAATCAGCAACAGCATTTCCTTAAGTGAAAGCCTAATCCAGAGCAAGGTTCTAATTCTCTTCAATTCTATGAAGACTGAGAGGTGAGGAAGCTGCAGAAGAAAAGTCTGAAGCTAGCAGAGGTTGGTTCATAAGGTTTAAGGAAAGAAGCCATCTCTGTATCATAAAAGTGCAAGGTGAAGCAGCAAGTGCTGATGCAGAAACTGCAGCAAGTTATCCAGAAGATCTAGCTAAGATCATTGATGAAGATGGCTACACTAAACAAAAGACTTCCAGTGTAGATGAAACAGTCTTCCATTGGAAGAGGATGCCATCTAGGACTTTCCTAGCTAGAGAGAAGAAGTCAATGCCTGGCTTCAAAGCTTCAAAGGACAGGCTGATTCTGTTGTTAGGGCCTAATGCAGCTGTTGACTTTAAGTTGAAGCCAATACTCATTTACCATTCCAAAAATTTTAGGGGCCTATGAATTATGCTAAATACACTCTGCCTGTGCTCTCTAAACAGACCAATAAAGTCTAGATGACAGAACATCTGTTCACAGCATGGTTTACTGAATATTTTAAGCCCACTGTTGAGATCTACTGCTCAGAAAAAAAGATTCCTTTCAAAATACTACTGCCCATTGGTTACCCAAGAGCTCTGATGGAGATGTACAAGGAGATTAATGTTGTTTTCATGCCTGCTAACAAAACATCCATTCTGCAGCCCATGGATCAAGGAGTAATTTTGACTTTCAAGTCTTACTATTTAAGAAATACATTTCACAAGACTATAACTGCCATAGTTAGGGATTCCTCCGATGGATTTGGGCAAAGTACATTGAAAACCTTCTAGAAAGGATTCACCATTCTAGATGCCATTAAGAACATTTGTGATTCATGGGAGAAGGTCAAAATATCAACATTAACAGGAGTTTGGAAGAAGTTGATTCCAACCTTTACGGATGACTTATAAAGTTTGCAGAATAAAAGGCTAATATACAAAAGTCAATCATTTTCTTATATACTAGCCATGAACAAATGGAATTTGAAATTAAAAGCACACAACACCATTTATACTAGCACCCAAAAAAATGTAATACTTAGGGATAAATCTAACAAAATATATACAAGAGCTACATGAAGAAAACTAGAAAACACTGATGAACTAAATCAAAGTATTGAATAATGGAGAGACATTTCATGTTTGTTGGATAGGAAGACTCAATATTGTGAAGATGACAATTTTTCCAAATTTGATATATAGAATCAATTTTATACCAATCAAATCCCAGCAAGTTATTTTTTTTTTTTTTGGATGTCAACAAGTTTATTCTAAAGTTTACATGGAGAGGCAAAAGAACCACAATAGTCAACACAATATTGAAGGAGGAGAATGAAGTCAGAGGACTAATACTACCAAAATTTAAAGCTTACTATAAAGCTTTAATTGTTTTTAATCAAAACTATGTGGTATTGGCAAAAGTATAGACAAATATATCAATGGAACAGAACAGAGAGCCCCAAAATAGACCCACATAAATATAGTCAACTGATCTTTAACAAAGGAGCAAAGGCAATATACTATAGACCAAAGATAGTCTTTTCAACAAATGTTGCTAGAAGAACTGGACATCCACACGCAAAAAACCAAATCTAGCTCAGACCTTATACCCTTTACAACAATTAACTCAAAATGGATCACAGACCTAAATATTAAGGGCAAAACTATAAAACTGATAGAAGATAACATAGGAGTAAACCTAGTTGACCTTGGGTATGGATGATGACTTTTTTAGATACAACACCAAAGTCATGATCCATGAAAGAAATAACTGAGAAGCTGGACATTAAAAAACTTTTGCTCTGCAAAAGACAATGTCAAAAGAAGACAGGCCACGGACTGGGAGAATTACAAAAAGACACATTTGTATATCCAAAATATACAAAGAATTCCTTAAAACTGAACAAGAAAGCCAACAACCCAATTAAAAAATAGGCAAAAGACCTTAAGAATCTGAAACACTGACAACACCAAATGCTAGAGAGGATGAGGAGCAAAACTAATTCTCTTCAATTCCTGATGGGAGTGAAAAATGGTACCACTATTTTGGAAGATGGTTTGGTGGTTTCTTAGAAAACCAAACATATTCTTTTCGTATTATCTAGCAATTGTGTTCCTTGGTATTTACCCAAAGAAATCGAAAACTTATGTCCATACAAAACTTGTACATGAATGTTTATAGCAGCTTTATTCATAATCGCCCAAACTTGGAAACAACCAACATGTCCTTGAGTAGGCGAATAGATTAGTTAATTGCAGTACATCCAACCAATGGAATGTTATTCAATGCTAAAAAAAAGAAAAGAGCTATCAAACCATGAAAAGACATGGAGAAAACTCAAACGTATATTTAGTAAGTGAAAGAAGCCAATCTGAAAAGATACATACTGTATGCTTCCAACTACATAACATTCTGGAAAAGGCTAAACTATGAAGACAGTAAAAGATCAGAAGTTGCCAGGGGTTGGGGTGTAGGCAGTAATGAAAAGACAGAACACAGAGGATTTTTACAGCAGTGAAAATACTCTGTATGATATTGTAATAATGGATACATTTCATTACACATTTTTCCAAATCCATGGAATGTACAACATGAAAAGCCAACCCTAAAGTAAACTATGCACGCCTGTAATCCTAGCTCTCTGGGAGGCCGAGGCGGGCGGATTGTTTGAG